AGCACAGACGGGCACAAAGCTTGGTCAGGAGTCCCTGTGGACCCTCCTGTCCCCATCAAGGCAGCAAAACGCCCGTGTCCGTATGGATGGGTGACTGGGAGCAGCATCGCAAAGGGTGAAGGGAGGCAACATATGCCCACAACCACCCTCGTGGCATTGCTCCAACTCACTTCCCAATCCCAGAATGGCTTTTTCCCATCCTCTTCCTGCCCACAAAGAGATACCAGCGACAAGGGGGAAGAAAACTAATTAATAATTATGCTCTGTTAATGACTTGAGATGTTCCTAGGCTAAGTGTTCCCATTTCACTCCGAAATGAGCACCTCTTCTTGTCCACTCAACAGCAAACCTCCATCCCCAAGGCTGTGGGATGAAGCTGTGGGTGGATGGCAAAGGGATGCATTCATTCTCCCTTGCTGTAGCCAAGATGTCTTAGAAGTGAAGCAATTTTCCCTCTCCCTTTGTGCTTCTACCTTCCTCTGTATCCAAGCGCAGCTGGGATCCTCAGAGGGCCTGGATGACTCACCACGGCTGCAATGGAAGGGCATTAGCACATGATTCCTCCCAGGGCTCTGCATCTCCTGTCACCAGCAGCTTCTCCTATTCCATTGAAGGAAATACCACCTTTTTACCTGCAAAACAGTGGGGCACAGCCCCTTGGTGGGCAGGACAACCTGATGGAGACGGGTGCTGGACCAGCGTGGAGATGCAGGGACCGAAGGGATGCCGAGCACCGCAGCAGCGTCACATTCACATCCCCAACACCAAGTCCTTGCTCTCTCCCTGAGTTCTTGCTCAGCTGAAGCAGGTCCCTCCTCAGGGTGACCAAAGCAGCTTGGTCACCCCTTTAGCTGCAATCCCAGCCCGGAGCCATTGCGGTTGAACACTCACTGCCTGCACTGCAGGGTGCAGTGAGGATTTGCTTCCCTGACGGTGTCTGTCCCTGCCAGACTGTGTGCAGTGCGGTGGCACCGCTCCTGGGTCACCCCTTCCTTCCAGGACAAGCTATTTATACTTTCCCTTTGGAAAGCCAAGGCGGCTTCTTGGGAGGACATGGCCTTTGGTGCCAGCTGCTTCCTGAACCCAGGACACAGGGACCTCGGAGAAAGGAGGTGAGGCAGAGCCAGGGCACAACCCAACCTCCCATCCTGGGCATGTTTTGCCTAAGGAGCTCATCAAACAGGGTCCGCGTGGGGCTGGGAAACGTTGGGATGGTGGGAAGGGGATGGAAAAACCCTGTGGGGATGCTGCAGATGCACAAAGAGCATTCCCATGCGGGATGCAGCCCACCCTGGCTGCTCTGCCTGCACCCAAACCTGGCCTAAACCATGCTAATCCAGAGAGCAAAGGGCTCCTGCTCACCAGCCCTTTCCTCAGGCACGTGGCACTTCATTTTATCACTCCAGATTAAGCTGCTGCTCTTAATTGCCGAGTGCTCCTGGGCAGGAAGAACAAGAAATGTCAGGGGAAAAGCCAATGTGGCATTTCTTATCATCTCCATGGTATTCGGGTCACCTTCCTGGTGCGGATGGGAATCCGTGTGGTCTGGATGCAACAGGGAGTGATCCGATAGCGTTCCATGGGGTGCTTTCCCTGGCATCTCCTCCATTCTTGACCCTGCAAGGGAAGAGCACGATGGATCCAGCCAAATGTCAAGAAACACTGGGTTTGGTGGGGGGGGGGGTTATGCTTTTAATGGGGGATCTTTGCTCAGTTCTTCCTCCTCTGTCTATTCAAAGCCTGCTGAGTGCTGTGGCTTTAGGAAAGCTGAGATCAAAGTGCTCTGCAGACTCAGCAAACCTCTTTGGCCAGGAACCAAAGGGCACAAGGCTTTTTCTTTAGGAAAAGTATATCCTGTCCTTTCCCATGCTTTAGAAGCAAAGGTTTGGGTCCACTTTAGGCTCATTTGATGCATTTAAGCACCAGAAAGCCCAGGGAGGGGAGGTTGGGTGATGCTTTATGGCACTGAATTGCACCCCTGCAACTCAATGGGTATCTTGCAAACCTTGCAGGTGATCAATGACTTTTCCCCCTTATTTTGCCAACAAACATCCCATCAGCTCAAATCCATGGCTTTGCTCTGAGTATTCCAGCTTGGCTGGGGAAGAGCCCTGCGGGGAGGTGGGGCTGGCTTGGGCAATCACTGTATTGTGTTCAGAGCTGCTCCGAAGCAGCTGATTCACTCCCATCAGCGCAGAACAATGAATGAGAAAGGAAATTGCTCCCTTTGCATCCAAGCCTGGAGCTGGAGCCGGCACTCAGAGGCTCAGCAGGTTTTTTCTGCCCCTATGTCAGTGATGTCTGTGTGGGTTTCAGGCCCTGGGGTGTCCTGCTGGGATTACCCAGCTCTTCCAGGTATTTAGGGACCCACCACCGCACCTCCGCATCCTTCAAGGACTGGTACCCGTGGGATACAGCTCCAAGCAGAGGCAGCACCTTGTGCTCAGGGAAACCAGTTTTGGGGTGGAACTCAAACAAAAAGGCAACTCAAAAGGCTGGCAGCAGAGCAGCTGAGTGCTTGAAAGGCTCTGATGCAGCAGATGTGATGCCCCTAAAAGACACAGGCTGTCTATAGCTCTGGCTTCCATCTAGCATCAAATCCCCAGCTGGAGCCGGGTCTGTTCAGCTTTTGGGGGTTTCGACCCCAAAATCCCTTTGGGATTTGGGGAGTGGCTGCTGGTGTCCCTGAGCTCAGCAGTGCTCTGATGCATCCCTGTACTGGGGGCATGGTGGGTGTTTCCTGGCCTCCCCTCAGCACCCTCAGCGTCATTCCTGCCCCCTCCAACAACCACAGGGCTGCATTGTCCTGCTTGTAAAAGCAAATGAACTCCTCAGTGGGGCTGGCCCCTTCCCGTGTTCCCCACGCTGGGAATGCTGAGCATCACCTCAGGGATGTGACCCATGGGAGCAGCCCCATGGTGGTTTTCCCAGGAGAAAACTAGGGGTGATGACAATGGCAAGGCTGAGCAGATGGATGTGGGGTTTGAGGTCTGGAGAAGGCAGCAAGTGCTTGAGCTTGGTGGATAACTACCTGTGATTTTAAGGGCCTTTCCAACTCTAAGCATTCCATTCCACTCCATCCCATTCCATGCTATTCCATTCCATTCCATCCCATTCTATTGTTTGCTCAGCTTGCAAAGGACAGACCTCCCCATGGGGACAGGCGGGGTGGGATCTGCCCCAGCCCTGGCAAAGGGACATTAACACTGAGGGAGGAACTGGAGATAACATCTCTGAGCCCTTCGGGTTGCAGAAGTGGTGACATTCCCTTGGGAAGAGAAGGGACACGGCTGCAAACAGGAGCTCAGGTCTCCAGGATGGGCTGTTGTACACCCTGGGGTCTGTTCTACACCTCGTGCATCCCCTAGCTTTAAAGCATTTCATGCACGTTTTTACCCCCAGGGCACATTTTAGCAGCCCTCAAATGAAGGGAGATGATGCAGGAACGTACAAGGCTAAAAGCTGGGTGCACGGATGGCTCCCATGATGGTGGCGTGCATGCTGCACCCCACCATCCCCTGCTGCCCCCAGTTCCTCACCCCAGACACAGCCCTGCTCCCCGATACCTGCACTCACCCATCCTGACACACACCAGACGGTGATGCCACAGCTCAAGGCTGGGTTTAATGCCCAATGGGAGATGCTCCCATGGGCCAGAAGTAGCCTCAAAAACACTGCCAGCCTCCTGGGGGGCTGCCCACCCCAGGGAGGGTTCAGAGGGGTCCAACAGCTCCTTGGTGCTGAGGACCACAGGATGTGTAAAGATCAGATCCAGATTCAGTTGGGTTCCTACACAATTCCCACCATCCCCTTTCCAAGTGCTTGGAGATCCCTGGCCAAGGGTCCAGAGCCCCCTTGGGATGGGGCTCAGGACTCACAACGCCCCACTCCGTCCTTGCCACCGTGCTTTGGGGACCAGGGGGTTTAGCGAGGCATTGAGCAAGAGGATGGGGAAATGGGGTTGCCAAGGAAACAAAGCAGCCAAAGTGATGGGTTTTTCTTTGTTAAGGCTGGAAAAATGCGGGGGAGAAGGGCAGCGGCGGTGGGAGGCTGGAAAACAGGGGGAGAACCCTGGGATTGGAATGGAAACCAGGGATGCTCCCGTGCCTGGGTGCTGGATTCTGCCCCCGCGGGACAGGGCGGCCTGGCCCTTGCTCCATTGCTCCTCAGAGGCAGTGCAGGCACGGAGGGATCCAGCATTTGCTGTGGGGCTGGTGAGGGGACAGCAGGATCTCAGCCAGACCCAAAATGCCATCACCAACCGTCCCAGTCTGTGTCTCCCCATAGAGCAGGTCAGAGCCTCAGCCCTAGGAACAGTCTCCAAGAGCCACCCATATCCCGTTTCAACCCCTGGGAACTGCTGTATTCCCCTTGCTGTGCCCCAGGGATGGATCCTGCATCCCCACCTGGAGCATCCTCCCCAGGGGGACCTTTACATCAATGGCAGAGGAGCCTCCAGGAGCACCCAGCCCTCCAGTTTGCCTTCTCTGGTCCCTTTCCTCCTTTGGGATTTCTTAGGGGAGCCATAGGGTGTGAAGACCAAGAGTAAAACATGAAAGATCGCTTAATCCAACAGCTCTTCCATCCTCCTCCTCTCTGCCCATCATCAGCACCCTTATCCCCCACCCATGGTCACCGTGAGCTCCCCTATGTCTCCATCACATCTCGCTGCTGCTGGTTGATTCTGGTGGTGGTGAGGGACGAGCTGGGTACCACGAAGCTCCATCCCGCACCTCTTGTGGCCAAAGGTTGTGTCTCCCACCCCCTTTCCCTGGAAAACCCTCCCACTGGTGGAGTTCCTGCCCTGCCATGGGATACAGAGCACAGCTCCAGCCTTAAGTAAAGGTCTTTCATCACCAGGCAGGTGGTGGATGAGCATCAAGCTGGAGGCTGGTGGATCCAAGCCATGTTATGGAGCTGGCTGGGGGCTCTTGAAGGACCATGAGTGAATGGAGACACAGGTCCCAACACCCTTCAGAAAGCAGTCAGTGCTGCAGAGGCAGTTCACACCTTTATTGCTTTAGCTGGAGGGTTTTGCCCCACTCCTCTTGCCCCCCACATCCCTTCTTTCTTCCTCCTTTTAGTGCCCTTAAACCAGGACGGATGGTCCATGCGTCACAGAGTGCAGGGACATGGTGACATCCCACCAGCATCCAGGCACCCTACGACCACCCCATCTCCCTCTGTGTCCTCCCACTGTGGAGGAAGAAGGTATTTGGGTTAAAACCTGGCCATTTCCCACTCCTGGTTTCCCAGGCCAGTGGCACACCCCGACATCCATAGGGAATGTCCTTCCTGTCTATAAACAGACCAGTCTTCCTTACTGAGGATGTGTCTGTTGGCAGCGGTCTCCCTGCGCTCCCCAAGCAAACAGATGGACCACTTGGATTCACCAGGGTCTTCCCAAGCAAACCCATCTGTCACCAGAGCCCAGCTTCCTGGGGTGCAAGGAAACAGGGAGCTGGGGCGTAGGGACCGGAGCCACCGCATCACCTTCCTCCGCACCCCGATGTGGCTGTCACAGCATCCTTGTCTCACACTGCATCCCTCCAGCCCCATCGCCGGGTACCATCAGCAGAACTGCAGGAGAAGCAGAGGGTGAGCCCTCACCCAGCCCCCAGCACCGCTCGGGGGGGGCTCTGACACCCCCCCCCCGTAGGGATGGGGATGGGTTGGAGCACATGGGGCTGTGCACAGACCTTCCAGCGGTTCCCACACTCGTTGCACAGCACAAACGTGGTCATGGGCTCGTCGGCGCTGCGTGTCTGTACCTAGGATGGATGGAGCAGGAGGTGGTCAGAGGAGAGCCCCCCCTGCAGCCCTGATCCAGCGCTGGGGCAACAGCACAACAGGGACACGGAGCTGTTGAAGCCATGGGGATGCTGCGAGGGCTGGAGCAGCTCTGCAGCTCTAGTGGAAGGGGTCCCTGCCCATGGCAGGGGGTTGGAACTGGATGAGCCTTATGCTCCCTTCCGTCCCAAACTGTCCCAGGGTGCTGTGATTCTATAAACTGGGTGCCCTGGGAACAGCGGGGACCCCGGGGGCTTCGCAGGGCTCACCTGATTGTATGTGCAGTTCTTCTTCTTGCACTTGCCGCACTGGAAGAGGTCGGTGACGGTGCCGCCCGTCTTGGCCATCTGGTGCTCCCGGATGGCCTCCTGGGTCATGGCATTCCGCAGCTCCTTCAGCTCATCGCTGGCCATCTCCTGCCACCGGCATCGGGTCAGCGCTGCTGCCCGGGGCCTTGCAGCTCAGCCAGCGCAGGGCGCAAGCCGTCGTGGTCCAGCACCCTCCCCATCCTCTCCAGGTCAGCACTGGTCCTGCTCTGTGCTTTGCTGGAGGGCTCATGCCCATCCAGATCACCCCATCCTCAACCTGAAACCGCTGCCTGCATGTTCCCATGGCTCCCCATGGAGGGAGCTGCGCTCCCACAAGCTGGATGTGGGGAACATCCTTCCATAAGGAATGGAGACCCTCAAATGTGACTGGTGACGTTCCACACTGCGATGGGCTGGGGACTGCAGTGCCTCCTGCTTCCTCCCTGTGCCTGACGCTCCACAGCCAGCACCAAGGTGGGACAGGGAGATGCTGGGACAAGCACCACCAAGCCAAAACCCTGCCAGCCCTTGGGCACCAGCACAGCCTCCAAGAGCAGAGGCTGGGGAGGCAGCACGGATGTGGTCCATGAGATCCAGCCCCGTGTCCCACCTCGGCCGTCATGCGGGCGATGAGGCTGGGCAGGATGGCCCCGCACAGCACGTTCCTCCGCAGGCTGGGGTTCTTGGGGTCCTTCAGGTTGCTGATCCTGCTCCGCACTCGGTTGCGGTACTTCATGTCCGTGCCCTTCAGCTCCTGGAAGATATGTGGGGTGCGTCAAGGAACTGAAGGGGGTGAGGTGGAGGGATGCTCCCTGGGGTACCACATGGCCGGGTCTTCCCCTCCTTGGGCTTTGGAGGGTGAAGCACGGTTTGGGATGTGGGGAGGAAAACAGCGACATTGCCTTGCACCGTTTGACAGCCACAGTTGGGGTTGCACCAAAGAGCAGAGGAGGGGAAAGCACCTTGGGGTTGGTTCTGGTCTTAGGGGGCTGCCAGGAGACCCCCAAGCCTTGAGCTGGGGGTGAATGGGGGTGGCACCGTGATGAAGCTGAACCGGGGCTGGCAAGAAACATGGGTACCCACAGCAGGGTCACAGAAGCCTTGGCTGGGGGGGGGGGGGGATTCCCCCGGGGATGAAGGCAGATCCCTGAGCAGAGGGGTCTGGGGGAATGCACTGGAGCAGCGCGGGTGCCCCGGGGATGCTGCGCTCAGCATCACCCTCTAACAGGGCTCCGAGCTCCCTCTGCAGGCAACGGGGCCAGCAGAGCCCATCACCTTGTCCCCGTCACCCTCTGTCCTGCCCCCAGCACCACCCTTGAGCGCAGTGTGTGGCCCCAGCCCCTGTAAAGGATATGGTCTTCGATCTCCGATGCCATCTTCTCGCAGTTGACACCAAACTCCTTGTAGTCATCTAAAGGGCAGAGAGGCCAAGGGGTGACTTCGAGATGTGAAACCAGCCCCATCTCCCCATGCACTGAGAAACCCTCTTGAAGGATCTCACTTCTCCCTCTCAATTTGTCACAGGCACCCATCTCTAAGCAGCCTATTTTAACCCATCTCTCACCTCACAAAGAGCCCATCCCCACATCCAGCCCTTTACCGGACACCCCCCCAGCCTCCTTTGCTTGCCTTTTGGGGCTGAGCACTGATGCAGTTTGGGCCCCAGGGTGCAGAGCCTTGCTTGTTACTGCAGGGTTGCTCCTCTTAGGGCTGCCCCATAGGAGAAACAGCCAGGGTCGGACTCGAGCCCCCCGAGCCCCACTCACCATCCATGCGGAGCGCGGCCGTCAGCATCTCGATGCACTTGTCCCGCACCGAGTCCCCTGTGAGGTAACAGGGGGCCAGGAGGCAGGGGCTGGGCGAGAAGGGGCTGCTGGGGGTCCGTGGGGTCTCTGCTTTGGCCTTGCTGCTGTTGGCTCTGCAGGGGAGGACAAGCAGACCCCAGGGTCCTGGCGCAGCCCCCCAGGACCTGCACCATGGCACCGGGATGGGGCCTCTCCTACCTTTCCTCCTTGCTGTCGCTGGAGCTGCTCCGGGAGCCAGTGGGAGCTGGGGAAGGGCTGCTGCCCACAGAGGCTCTCCTGGGGGGGCACAGGAGGCGATGGCACCAGAGAGGGGCACACAGTGACTACGAGCGCTCAGAAACCAACGTGAGTCTCCCCAAGCGAGGATTTGTTCCCCATGGGAAGGCCCCAGTGCCCATCAGGTCAGGTCTCCCAACCATCCCTACCCATCCATGGTCAAAGCATCCCAGGAATGCCCTCTCCTTACCTCTCCCCTGACAGCCTCTTCTGTGAGGAGGAAGAGGAGGAGGAGGCCGACGTGGAGGACCTTGAGTCAGCAGAGTCCCTCCTGGCAGGAGAAGCCCCATCTCAGAGGTGGTGACAGGGACCAGGTGAGGGGACCAGACCCCATCCTCATCCATCCCAAGCACCCACCTCTCCTTCTTGCTGTCCAGAGGTGACTTCTTGGAGGACGCAGTGGGGCTCCGGCCATCATTGGCCTTTCTTCAGAAGCCCAAAGGAAGGGAGAGATGCTCTGGTGAGCCCATTGCACATTGCACACCGCATCCCAGTGCCACCATTCCCTGGCACAGCCTCCCCCGGGCTGGCAGCATCGACATGTACCTGTCCAGGCTGGAATCAGCAGAATGGCCCTGAGAGGAGACGGCGCAAGAGCTGGACTTGCTGGGCTTCCTATGGGCACAGAGAGCAAGGCAGGGTCAGAGGAGCCCCTTGCCCAGGGAATAAATAGCTCTAGAGATGGATAAACCAAGCCCAAGGAGTGAGCAGAGGGGTTTGTATCAGCCCCTCCAATGCTGGTGCCCCCCATCTTCACCTCTCCCTGTGCTTCTCCTTGTGCTTCTCCGCTGGGTTCTTGGGGTGCTTCACCCCTTCACTGGGGCAGCCGGGGAAATCCAGCCCCTTCTCCTTCTTCTCCCCATCCATGTCCTTCTCCTTCTTCGGGGTGGTGGAGGGCTCTGGAAGCAGGGTTTGGGTGTCACAAGCAGGGCCCAAAGCAGCACTGGGGGCACCTGGGGAGCTGCATCCCAGGCTGGGGGATGCTCAGCCCTTGGGAAGGCAGGCACTGATTTACACTGCTCCAAGGGAGCGGAAATGAGCCCTTGGAATATCCCTCCAAGGATATACATGGATGTGGGGAAGGGGCTGGGGCTCGGGGGCTCACCCAGCAGCCGCTTCCAGTTCTTGATGAGGATCTTGGCCGAGGCCACCACCTCTCCATCCGAGCAGTGCTTCCGCACCGAGTTAACAGCCACCCCGATCCGCGTGGTCTGGGGACGCGCAACAGGGATGTGTCCTTAGGGATGTGTCCTTAGGGATGCGCTGCCCAGCATGGGAGGGATGGGACAAACCCCCCTCCATGGGGTGTGCCCCTTCCAGCAACCGCTGCCCCCCAGGCCAGCCCCCCTCACCTGGAGCAGCTGGATGGTCATGGTGTAGTTGGTGAGGGACTTGAGCAGATCCAGAGCCCCTTCCTAGAGTGGGGAGAAGCCACGGGAGCTCCTTGAGGGGCAGGAGAGGAAGAGGGGGCTGCATCGAGGCAGCCCGTGTCCCCCTTTCCTCTCACCAGCATCCCAGGGCTGCTCCCTGTCCCCTCCAATGCACCCCTGTTAAAACCCCAATCCCAATTCCTGCCGCATGGGGTCACTCCTCCCAGCTGGGAAGCAGGAGCTCCCCTTAAAGCTTGGGGAAACCCTTCCATAAGGCTGAAGATAGCGACCAAGCCAGGGTAGTTCCCAGGGGGAAGCAGAAGCAGAACCCATTGGGTTCTAAGTGTTGGCATCCCAGCGAGGCACCGGCTCCGCTCCGGAGCTCGCCCCGGCTCGGGGTAAAGGCCAACGGAGCAGTCAAATATTAACTCTAAGGGCTGGGCTCGGCTCCGCTCCCCCACTGGCTCCCAAAGGGCCGCATCCTGGCACAGCAGCACCGCAGCAGAGCCGGGAGCCAGCTCTTGTGCCCTGCCTGCGCACGGTCCGCACGCTCGTGCAATAGGAACCGGGTGCGTGTGTGTGGGGCTGGGGGGGGCACGGTGCAGCACCGGCCCCCATTGGGTGGTGGTGGCCGGGCTGGTGGCCAAGCACCTGTCACCCACGGTCCCCTGGCACCGCGGAGGGCCCCCATGGCCCCGTATGTGCCCACATGTGCCTGCATGGCCCCCACTGTGCCCACATGGCCCCAAATGTGCCCACATGGCCCCATACATGTCCCATGGCCCCCAATGTGCCTGCATGCCCCCAGATGTGCCCACATGTTCCCCAAGGTGCCACATGTCCCCCGATATACCCCCATGTCCCCACATACCAATGGGCAGTGGGGTGCAGGAGAGAGAAGCACAGATTGGAGGCACACTAAACCCCGCTGTGGTGAAGCTGGGGTGGCACAAGCAGCGCCCCGGGGTGCTGGTGGGTGCTCAGCACCCCTTGGACCCACTCAGCACAAGCAATAGTGGGGGGGTGAAGAGCACCCCATCCCCTTTACCCTTTCCCTTCCTCCCCTGTCCCGCAGCACGCTGTAACACGCAAACATGCCTGTACACGCATGCAAATGTACACACGCATGTAAATACACACGTGTGTGTGCCAAGGGCTTGGCCACCCTTACCGTGCTCTTCCTGGCCACCATCTTATCCAGCTTCTTGGCAATGCGGACCAGCTCCTCAGCGGGGCCCATGCTCCCGGCTCCCGGCTCCGGGGGGCAATCCCAAAGCAGAGCCGGGCACGGCCAGCAATGCGGGGGGGACACAGGCAGGGAAGGGAGAGGGAAGCGGGGTGGGAAGGAGCAGGGAGAAAGGGGAAAAAGAGAGGAAGGAGAAGGGAGAGAAAGCAGAAAGGAGGTGGGGCTGTCCCGGCCAGTCATCAACCCTGCCAGGCAGGCGGAATAACACGGGGAAGGGCTAAATATAGCTGGGAATGACAGGCAGGGACATGAGGGCGGGAGGCGCGGGCTGGGGGGGCACCCAGGGGTGCTGCGGAGGACCCCGGGGTGCAGAATAGGGTTGGAGCCTGGCGCTTGAGCTCTTTCTTCAGAGGCAGTCGGTGATCTGGTCCTATCAGTTTAGTGGGTCTATTCTAACTTGGCACTCCAGAGACTGGGAATGCGGCAGGAGACTTCCAAAGCCCTTTGGAAGTGCAATAACTAGCTCTACTCATGACACACAACTTGTGATCTATAGGTCTCTCTAGATTAGGTATAAGGAAGAAGTTCTCTCCTGTGGGGGTAGAGGGACATGGGAATGGTTTGAACGGAGAAGGTTTGGATGCCCCATCCTTGGCAGTGCTCAAGGGCAGGATGGATGCGGCTTGGAAGTGGTTAAACTTTAAGGTCCCTTCCACCCCAACCCATTCCGTGGTTCTCTATGGTGTTGGTAAGGAGGAGGCTAAGCCTGCACCAGGCTTTGCTCTGCAGAAATCCCCCAGGAGCACCCATAGGGACAGCACAACCATAGGGGGGGCACCCCAGGCTGGCTCCCATGCAGGGAGGACACCCATGAGAGCCCAAACCCCACCTGGTGCACCCATTCCCACACAAAGCAGTGCTCCCCCCATGCTCAGCACCCTAAATCCCAGGCTCCCATCACTGATGGGCACTGGGAGGGCACAGAGCCTCTGGTACCCACCTGAGAGGTGGCATCAGCATCGGGCAGGGTGGGGGCTGCCAGCCCCATGGCAGGAGCTGTGCCCCTCATCGAGCAGCCAGGCCCTTACAAAACCCATGGTTTTATTAGAGACAGAAAACATGAACAAAACTGTTTGAGATGACACATTTGACCCCAAAATGGGAATGGGGTGAGTCGGGGGGGGGGGGGGGGGGGGCAGTAGGTGGTTCCCAAAGGGCACCAGGATGGGGGGGGGGGACATTGGTCCCAAAACAGCTGTAAAATCCCTTTGAAGACCCCCCCAGGGCTGGGGCGGTGATCCAGCACCCACCCCAGGCACAGGATATGGGGCAGGAGCTCCACGGTGCCACTGACCTCCCCCCCCCAAGAGCAGGGAACGGGCACTGTCCTGCATCCTCAGAGCCCATCGGCCCCCCAAGGAGAGGCCAATAAAAGCCCTTTGCTATTCCCTGCTCATCCCACAGGCTTCACAGTTGGGGTAGGGAAGAAGGACGGGGGGGGACGCAGCTGCTTCCCAGCCCTGTACCCCCAACCCCAACAGCCCCCAAGCTGGGAAGGGGGGTCCATGGCTCCCCAGCAGAGGAGGGCGAGGGGCACCCAGTGCAGCTCCTCCATCCCCAAACCCATGCGGGCAGGAGAGGAGGAAGCGCCGGGGATGAGCAGGGGGACACCAAGGGACCCTCTCAGGCCATGAGTGCCGTGAGCGTGCCTGGTCTCTGCCCTACGCACGGGGCAGGCAGCAGCCCCTGAGCTCCCCGCAGCCGCCATCCATGGATGCTGTTCCCAACGGAAGGGGACCGGATGGGTCCCGGCTCTGCTGAGGACAGCGAGGGTGAAGGGGCCGTGGGCACCCATCAGTCCTGCAGGAGGTGCACGAAGCTGGCTGGGAACACTCCGGTGCGGGATCCATCGCCCTCGATGAAGCCAACCTGGGGGGTGCAGGGGGGGGTCAGGCCATGGGAGCCCCAGCTCTGAGACAGGGCTGAGAACTAAACCTGGAGAAGTGAAGGCTCCTTAAGGGGAGACCTCAGAGCAGCTCCAGGGCCTAAAGGGGCTGCAGGAAACCTGGAGAGGGGCTTGGGACAAGGGATAGGATAAAGGCGAATGGGCTTTAACCTCCTGCCAGAGGGCAGGCTGAGCTTTAAGGCCCCTCCCAACCCATTCCATGAGAGGACCTTGGGTAGGGGAGAGGCTCTGGGGCCGATATCCCCATTCCCAGAGGGATTTAGAGAGGCAAAGCTGCAGTGACCCATCCGTGAGCACCCTCCTGCATCACAGATGGGGCCATCACCCATCCGCACCCCCCGTGAACACAGAACCTCCTCCAGCTGGAAGGGAAATGGGGGGGGAATAGACCAGGATCGGGCCCCAGCACCCCGGTGACCCTCACCCAGCTCTGCTCGTCCTCCTCCCGCGTCACCACGATCACCTCGCCCTTGGAGAAGGTCAGCTCCCGCGCCTTGTCCCCCCTGCAGTCAGCCACCGCCTTCACCCGCTTCTGCCGCCCCTTCGCCTGCAAAGGGGGGAGAAGGGGTCATGGACACCCCCAAAGCCACCTCCCAATGGGGGTGCAGGGATGTGATACCCCCGATGCGTCCATCTTCCACCCTGGGATAAGGGGAAGGGGGAAAGGGGGAAAGGGAAGTCTGGGCACGCAGAGGGTGACCCCCAACCACCATCAAAGCCACTCTGAGACACCCCCTGTTGGCACCTACCGGGGCGAACCTCCTGGGCATGGGCACAGGGGGCACCTTGCTGCCGTTGGGGTCCTCAGCAGGGCTCTGGGGGGACACGGCCTTGCCCCCCACACCACTGATGCGCCGGTAAGAGCGGGTGCTCTCGGAGCTGCTGGGGACAGCGGGGACGGTGTCACCCCCTCAATGATGCACCAAGCCCTTCCTGCGGGGGCTCAATGGGGGCAGAGCCCCCTCATGGGACCCAGATCCCACCCCACAGCTCCCTGGCTGCTGATGGGGGTGGGCTCCATCCTCCCTACAACAAGCCCATTCCCACCACAACTTCCCAAAAGGGAAACTGATAACTCACAGGGGGCCTTGGTGTCACCCCAAATATCCCACATCACCTTCCCTAGGGACAGCCCAGAACCTAGTCCCCTCCTGCATCCCAGGGTATCAATTCCCTTGTCCGCTCCTGCATCCCAGGGTATCAATTCCCTTGTCCCCTCCTGCATCCCAGGGTATCAATTCCCTTGTCCGCTCCTGCATCCCAGGGTATCAATTCCCTTGTCGCCTCCTGCATCCCAGGGTATCAATTCCCTTGTCCCCTCCTGCATCCTAGAGCATCAATACCCTTGTCCCCTCCTGCATCCCAGAGCATCAATTCCCTTGTCCCCTCCTGCATCCCAGAGCATCAATTCCCTTGTCCCCTCCTGCATCCCAGAGCATCAATTCCCTTGTCCCCTCCTGCATCCCAGAGCATCAATTCCCTTGTCCCCTCCTGCATCCCAGAGCATCAATTCCCCTGGGAACTCCATGTCCCCCCGTGCCTACAGGGGGGTGACTGGCACAGGATGAAGCCAACCAATGCAATGAGCCCCCCTCAGCCCCAACACTGGGACAAGGGGGAATGTCCATACCCAAACTTAACAGGGGGGATGTCGGGGGCTGTGGGGCTCAGCTCTGGCCCCCGCCGGGTGCTGGTCTCTGTATCAGAGCGGGTCTCCCAGTACGCTGCCCTCCGGCTCTCAGTGGGGCTGCGGGTGCCAGGGGGGCCCACGGTGCCGTCCAGGGCACCCCCACTGCTGGAGAAGTGGGGCTCCGACGCCTGCCAGGGCAGCTCAGGGCGCTCTATGGGACAACACAGATGGAGGGGCAGTAACCACAGACACCCATCTGGTGTCTGGGTGATGGGGGAACCCCCCACTCACCGGTGGGGCTGGGTTTGGGGCGGGCGCTGCCCCGCGTGGGGTTTTTGAGGGGCAGCGGGGGGGGGATCTCCTCGCTGTGGGCCCGGCGGGGAGCGGGGCGCGAGGGCACCAGGATGCTCTCGTAGGTCCTGTTGGTGATGTCCATCCCCGTGCAGCTCCAGCGGGCCTGGGGGCTGGGGGCCGGTGGCGATGTGCCCTTGAAGGAGCGCTGCAGGGGGCTGACCTGGGGACAGGCACCCGGCTCTAGGGCTGCCCCACACCGGGGTCTGCACCCCCGGAGCCCTCGCTGGGGATGTGGGGTGTCCCCGTCCCGCCCATAACCCCACATGGGTACCTTCTCCTCCAGCTCGTCCTCGCTGTCATAGGGGAACTCCTGGGCAGGCTCCCAGTCATAATCCACATGGATCTGTAGGGAGAGCTTCTCTGCCTGTGCCTGCTCCAGCTGCCGGATAGGGAAGGGCAGGAGGGTGTCAGGATGGGGGGGGGGGCAGGTCCCAGCAGCCCCCTGCCACCACGCCGGTGCTTCAGCCCCCTCTGCTCAGCCTGAGCATCTCCCTCCTCATCTTCCTCCCACCTACCAGCTCCTCGCACTCCGAGTGCTTCAGCCTCCTCGCCACATCCAGCGCCGTCTCACCTGCTGCGTTTACTGCCCGAGGGACAAAGGGGATGGGTCCCAGTCACTGGGGAACCCCAAACCCCCCTCTCCCCATCCCAGCCCCATACCCGTGGTGAAGGTGGCTTTGCCCTTGAGGAGCAGCTTGAGGCAGTTGGGCTGGTTGTAAAGCGCGCTGTAGTGCAGAGCCGTGTTCCCGTCCTGCGTCACCCGGTCCAGCGTCCCCCTGCAAGGAACTCAAGGCTTGAGGGCACGCAAGCATCAGCCCCTGTGGTCCTGCGTGGGAAGCGGGCAGGGGACGAACCCGTTCTGGATGATGAAGTCCACCAGAGGAAGAGATGATCTGTCAGCGTGGCGCACGGCCATGTGCAGTGCCAGCTCGCCCAGGTCCTGCCAAGAGATGGAGGGGAGGGGTGAACCTGAGGATGCTCATCTCCATGAGGTAGAGGAGAGCTGGACCCAAGAATGCTCATCTCCCATGAGACAGAGGAGAGCTGGACCCAAGGATGCTCATCTCCCATGAGACAGAGGAGAGCTGGACCCAAGGATGCTCATTTCCCATGAGATGGAGAGGAGAGCTGGACACAAGAATGCTCATTTCCCATGAGATGGAGAGGAGAGCTGGACCCAAGGATGCTCATCTCCCATGAGACAGAGGAGAGCTGGACCCAAGGATGCTCATTTCCCATGAGATAGAGGAGAGCTGGACACAAGAATGCTCATTTCCCATGAGATGGAGAGGAGAGCTGGACC